CCCAAGGCTTTGCAGTCGAAGGCGAAGCCCTGGCCCTGGCCTGCTGCTGTGGATTCGCCCAGCATCTCTGTCCGGCTGACAGAAGAGCCACTACGCTCTTCGTCCACCGGCAGCTCGTTCCCTTCTTGGTTTGAGCCATCGGCGCGAAGCGAAGCGAGATCAGCACAAAGGTCCCCTCTGCACCTTTGGGAAAGGCAGTCGCCCCTTCCTGGGCTGCTTCGTGGTGGAGACGGGACGTCTGCCGTGGCCGCCTGGTTCTCCAGAGGAGCCCTCAGATCTGTTGCTCTATCGAGAGGCGCGAGGTGGACGGGGCCGGAGGCAGCGGACAACGCTAGGATGGGTCCCTGGCCGCACGGAGACTCAAGGCCGGCTGTGCCGGCAGCTGCGCTCTCAGCAGGCACCCGCGTTTCTGCAGAGGGCGCGCAATCCTCGTCGCTCTGCTCCAAACCGGCCCCGCGCATCTCTCCGGCGAGTCCAACGCTGCCCATAACTGCAGCCGCTGGGACGCCGACGGCCGGTGCCCCACGGATAAGGTTTGGACCAGGCGATAACCTCAGCATTAACCCACTGTCACAGGATGACCCCACGTCGGATGGACTGGCTTTGTGCACCAAATCGACACCGCTTGTCTCCACACCTGGAGTGTCCAGAGCCTCCTGGGGTTCTTGCAGCGCACATGGGCTCGGGGCTGTTTTGCCAGGAAGGGTTGCAGCTGACGGCACTGGCATTAATCCGCACTGGCAGGGGGATGCTAAGGCAGTGGGGCTGAGCATGGGGCCCTCTCCAGGAACGGCAGGATCCTCTGGACGTGCTGAATTCACTGGGGTCAGCTTCCTGTCTTCGTGCTCCAGGTCTGCATTGCTGCCTTCAGAAAATGATAAATCAATACGCGCCTGGACCTTGCTTTCATATTCAGAGTCCTCCTCCTCTATTTTTTTCTCCTCCATCTCTTCCTTCTCTCTTTCCGGATGTCCTAAGGGGTTTTGTGATTCCCTCCCCTCACCGCCAGGTCGGTCCAGCTTTGCACTTTTGGGACTCACTTCTAAAGGCAACGAACCGCAGGCATGTTGCGGTCCGTCGCTGGCAGCCCAGCTGCCTTCTCTAACATCCGCGCAGCACCTGACGTCTCCCGCGCTGCCCCTTTTCCTGGGAGGGCCAGGGCACCCGCTCTCCAGCTGCTCTCCACGTCCGTGCGGTGCGCACAGGGTACTGCTCCGGGGATCTCTACTGACATTAAGGACTCGATTGTGTGGGTTTTCCCTGACCGGTGCAGCCGAGGGCCTGCTGGTGTCGCCGAGCTCGTCTGCGAGGCCGGGGGTGATTGTAGCGTCCAGCAGTCCCTCTCTCGGCGGCTCCTCCTGAAAATGCACAAGGCAGAGGTTAATATTCACGGGAGACAAATGCAGGAATTGAAATGCTAGTGCAGAAGGACAGGGATATTTTAAATTCTCAGAGATGTCATGAGCACCACCACCCCCACAACATCTGGGGAGATTTAGTTTAATTAAGTCCCTAAAATAAGTCCAGGATGAAGCCTGACCCCACCTGAGCCAGGGGACACCCCTTCTCACTGCCACTCCCATTGCAGCCGGTGAGCAGAGTTGCACGGACAGCGAGGGAAGCCTTGGATGTGGCTTTTGCCAGAACCTGGGGATGCCAGCTCAATGCAAGAGGACGTCCAAACTGGGAGCAAAGCCTAAAAGCTTCCTTTTCAACAGTGGCTCTGAGTTTGCCTGCAGGGCAGTTCCTCGGGGCAGCTAACTGTTGGGGGACGCTGGTGTGTCCTGCCAGGGCACCCGCCCTACCTGGCTCCGAGCGAGCCCGCAGGTAGCTCTGCTCCACTAATCTCAGAAAAACCTGCTCGAGGAAGCACAAAACGCCTCGTGCTCCCTGCAGACTTGTATCAGGCAACCCCGAGCTCTTACCGGAGCGATGCTCGAGGCGGCGTGCACGCGCTCCCCGAGAGTGATTGCCGGCTGCCCGTCTTCCATGGCCATGTTGCTCTGATCAGCACATTCAGTGAGGGAAGGGCTTTCGGGACAGCTCGTGGAGGACAGCTCCTCCCCGGAGGGCAGCTCCCCTGAAGAAGAAGATGCTGTACTATCGACAACGCCATGAGTCCTATCTGTGTCCGCTTGAGAGTCTTCAGGGCCCTTTTCTGGGTGGAAAGTTCCCTGGTAACGCATGCTGGGCTCAGGAAAGCTGCTGGGGGTCTGGTCAGGGCCTGACCGCAAGTCTGCAGGACACATCTCCAACCCGAAACCATCCTCACTGTCATCACTCAACTCAAAAAAGTCCCTGGTGCTGTTTATCGAGACGTACTTCTTGGGGTTGCTGTGCTCCACCACCTTCCTTGTGCTGCTCAGGAGTTTGCTGGGTTTGCTGTAGAACAGAGCCACCCACATATGAAGTATGAGCTTCATTTCTTCCACGTCATCAGGCAAATCGGGGTCCCAGGGCCTAGAAGGGAAAGCAAACACAGCCTGAAATGTCCACATCCTCCCTCCAGCTCACTGGCACAAGCTAACTCATCTCCTGGCTCCCCGCAGCACTAAGCCTTGATGCTGGGTGGGGCTGTAAATGCCCAGCTGCATTCACAGATCACTTCTTATTTTTGGCCTGTTGAAAACAAAAAAAGAGAAACTTGCAGCCACAAATGAGCTTTTTTGGGTTCCTGCCACAGGAAGGCACCACAGCTTTACCACAACAAAGCTGGACATCCAAGCGTGGGGAAAAAAAACCAATTATCCTGCAAAAGCGAAGCGGAAAGGCAAGAGCAAAGAAACCCCCTTGCAAAAGTGCTCCCGACATCCAGCTGACGCAGTCCCCTGCAGACAGCCCTCCGGAGCGACTTACCCATGCAAGGCGCGGATGACGGTTTTCTCCAGGGCGTCGTTGGTGTACCTGCTGTCCAAATTGAAGAGATACTCTGCTTCCCACTGGCAAGTCACCTTCATGGACTCGCCGCATCTGTTCACCGTGTGAGACCTGGCAAAGTCCTCCTTCTGCCGGGGGGAGAGCGCGCCGCTGCGGTGCCTCGCCACCACGGCCTCGAAGGGCTGCTGCGGGTGGTGGGTGCTGTTCTGCTGGTGGCGGAAAGGTAGGACTTTCCCCACCAGTGGCCCCGGGTGGGCGCTCCTGGCTCCGTTTCTGGAGGGTGCCGGCCCGGGGTATGGGACTCCTCTGGGATGCGTGTGTTTCCTTGGGTGCTCGGGCATCGGTGAGGCGTACGAGTGCTCGGAGGAGATGAAGGAGTGCTTGTTCACCTCGACGGGCTCTTGAGCCTCTTTCGGAGACAACGCACAGGTTTTTGCAGAGTTGGGGCTCAGGCTATCCTTCTTGCTGGGAATCCCCGGGCTTTTCTCCCTGGGAGTAGGGGCCGAGTCTTTTTTTAAATCCGTTTTTCCAGCAGGAGGAAGCTTATGGTTAGGGGACGCTCTGCTAGGAGAGGCGCCCTCCTTGGCAAGCTTGTCCACCCGGTGATATTCGTGGTCGAAAGCAACGCGCGAGGCCTTATGCTTGCGATGGCTTCGCTGTTCCTTCGAGGGGCTGCAGGACAAGGCGGCCGTGCCGCTGTTCGTGGGGATGAGGGGAGGAATACAAGAACCCAAGGCCAGATCAGCCAGCAAGTTCAAGGCGTGGGACTCGTAGTTGTTTCCTTGCAGATCGATATCCTCAGCAGCGACATCGCCGGGGTAAATCTCACTCGTTTCGCTTGCTGCTCCTTGGCTTTTGCAAGGGACGTTGCTCGGGAGGATGGAGAACGGCTCCTTCCCTTCTGCGAGAGAAAAGCAAAGTCAGAGAATAAACGCGGGCCCCACGGCTCTGCCCCGAGAACGGCTTCAAGGCAGGCGTTCGTCGCTAACGAATGAATGACTTTCGGACAGGTACCGGCGCATCCACAGCCTCTCAGTTATCTCCATATTGAACAGGCTCAGTTTGGCAGTAAAAAAGTGTTTCTCCAACACGGACTTCACCTATTTAAAAAGAAAACTCCACGGTTACATGGACCACAGCTGTTATACAGAAGGATTCAGAGTTAGGATCCAAGAGACTTCAGGAACGGGGTTTATTCTCAGAAATAAAAGGCAAGGGACCCGGAGTGAACAAAATTTCCCTTGACCTCTGCGCACAAGGTAATTTTGCCAAAAAGGGGAAATACCAGTACAACAGGAGATATTTTAAGTGTTTCCTTAATCCTTTTTTTTTGCTTTATACTTTCTTTTTGCCTGAATATTTGCAATCTTCACCGCAGAAAAACCCTGTGCTGTGCTTTCAGGAATCCACACAGTTACAAAAAACCCCTCTGAAACACAGAGAAAAGCCACCTTGCCCTCATGTTTCCCTCTGCACATCCTCTCAAGAGCATAACCTGCCCCTGAGCTGTACCGCAGAATACATGCAAAATCCTGGGGTCTCTAAAAGGCATCCAGAGCCGAGAAAATTAGCATTCACTTAGTTTTCGGTGTTAAAAACACCCCTCGCCATAGCTCAGGTCCCTTGTTCATAGACACAATATGAAGTTATTAAACAAGGTTAATACTGCATACTACAAAACAGCACAAAACGCTCTTCAAGCAGAACCCGATTAAACGAGACCTGTGCCAGAGCCCTAAGCGCTTCATTTAATTTCCTTGGGAAATGCAGAGTTGCCATTTCAATTGCGTACTTCTTATTGCTGAGCACTTTTTTTATTTTGCATTTTTGGCGGATCTTGGCAGTCAGTGGTTTTTTTACCTATGGGTGCCTGCCAGACAAGAGCAGGACCCTTCCTGCACCCTCTGCCCATGCAAGAGCATTGGCCAGAGCTGCTCAGGAACCCCCTCGCCGCGATGGCTGCAGCGGGCAGCAGCAGCGTCTGGCACGCGCGGGCTGATGAATACTGCCACGTTTCAGGAAGTCTTACAGCACGCGGCAGTAAAAGATCAAGAGGAACGCGTAAACCGAGCCGAGGCAGCAAAACCAGTCCTCAAAGCCTCCTCCTCCCTCAGGGAGGGGAGAAAGACTAGAGGCAGATCTGAAAAAGGACATCAAAGCATGAGTGCGAGAAAACATGACAAAATTAACAAAAAAAAAAGACTCTCCTGTTCCAGCGTTTATTTTGGTACCGTAATAGTGGTTCTCAGTTTAAAAGCAGACTCCTAGCCAACACCTGCAGACGCTGCACTCAAGGGCTTTCCACGCTGCCTTTTAAATCCGCTACAGTCTGTCTGCGAAGGGTGTGACAGCTCGCTCTTTTTAAAAACCACCGGATTTATAATGTAACGGGCTAAAAATCTAGGCGGATACTGGCTATGAGGTTGTAACACGCTATCCATGAGCTGCCTCAATACCATTTCCGAGCTCAGCCACTAAAAACAAGCAGCTTAAGCTAGCCCGGCAGTTTGCCAACGATGCAAAAGGAGGGATTCGGAAAGAACTCGAAAGGGGTCCCCGGGAGGTTTGTACATCCGATATCGGGCACGTTTACGGTCTCCCTCACCTTTTTCCACCCCGAGGCAGCTGCACCCTGACCGCTGCCCAGACCCGTGTCGCCAAACAGCGCAAGGCCCGTCCGCTCTTTGGCTGCTGACGAATATGCTGTTACGACACCCTGGTCAAGACCTGACCATGATGTTAGGCAGCTCTGCTTTCAAAGGAAAGATTTCTGCAGGGAACAGTGTTCTTACCGCTTTCTGCTTGCTTTTTGGCTTGAGGCTTCGACAGGCTGTTAGCCACACTTCTTATCATCTTACTCTTCCCTGGCTTTGTGGCTGTCTGAGCACTAGGAACCTTCTTCACATCTGGTTTCTTCAGCATCTTTGGTCTCTTTGTTTCCGTGCCAGGATTGTCAAGAGCTGAGGTTCCCTTCTGGACAGGTTCAGACTGTGTTTTGTGCACAAATTCTGCAGACAGGACCTCTGCACCTAGGGCAAGGGAAAGGGAGGGGGCTTCTTTTGCTTTGAGACATATTTAGATTTAAAAGCAATAATTACAAAACGTACAGGTTTAGGAAGGTGGAAGGACTGCTCGAGGAGTGAACGGCAGTAGTAGAGCAGTTGTCAGCGACTGTTGATTTATGCATCGGATCTTTCACGTGGGTTTGTTATTGATGCAAGTGATCAGTAAGTGCTTATTAAAAATTAAGCATCACTTCTTTAGCTCATTAAAACCCTGCTCTGCTGACCTACAACATGTCATCTCCAGGGATATGGCACTCCAACTCCTGCCTGGCACGCTTGTGCCCTGAGGGTACGTACTTACCCCTCCAAGAGGCACCCAAGGACCTCTCAGATGGATCAGCAACGGCACCAAGAGCAACGCCCGGGCGCGAGGCAGCGTACTGCAGGGCAGAGCTCGACGGACTGTGAACCGGAGCCGACCTCAGCCCGCAGCGGGCGGACGCTGCGCCACCCCTGGCGCTGCATGACAGCCCGTCGCCGCCGCTGCCGCTCCCTGCATTATGCGCAAACGCTAGCTGAGCGTGACGCTACCTTTGCTGGCATGCAACTTTTTTGGACCTTTCCTGCCATGTTTTGTCACCAAGGCTGGGATTCTTCTCAGCCCACTTCAGGAGTCTACAAATCAGGTGTAGGCACAAAAAGGACAGGCTCGCTCTAGCCTCGACAGAGAGAGAGGAGCCTCCAAAAGACAATTTACCCCACTGGGGGCATCTTGCACAAGCTCAGGCCAGAGAGCAGCTTTCAGCAGAGTAAGTCCGGTGGGATCAATCTCATACCTCTCATTTCATCAAGGCCACAAGAAGAAAGTTGGCTTTCAGGAAGCCAGAACATGACCACAGAGGGCGGCTGGTTATCTAGACAACATGTAACAACTGCGGTTTGGGCAACTACTCCTTGCCTGAGATATCGACAGCCTTCGGACAAGGGACGCAATAACCGCAACCTGGCTGACTTCCCTGCACAGCCACGGACGGCAGTGGCATGGACCGGTGCACCGAGTTTCAGGCACCTTCACCGAGATCCCCCGTCATTGCCCTGGGCTCCTTCCCCAGCCGAAGGAGAGACGGTGCAGCCACCGCTGCAGAGCAATGCAGATGCTCTCAGTCTGCTCGGCCCGGGCAGCGGGGGGAACGCGAGGTGATGTGGTTCCCAATGAAGCCCGAGTATCCTCGCTGGATACCTCAGACAGGCAGGAGGAAACCAGCCCCGATTATACAGCACTTACCTCTTTTCCTTCTGTGCGGAAACTGCAAATTGGCTAATTTGAGCATGGGCTCATTGGAATTGGCTGTGAGCCCCGGCTTTTTAGGAAAAGAGAAAGGGATGTTGATTTTTTTCTTCTTGGTTGCTTTCCTGTTTCTGCTGCTGTCCCCCACAGGATGCATTTGCATCTTGAGGGGGGACCATTTCTTCCTGGTGCTGGTCACGATGGCTTGGCTGGATTTCCTCTTGCTCTGCTGCACCCGTGGCCTGCCAGCTGAACTGACCTCTGCCGTGGTCCCTTCGCTGCCCTGATTCAGTCCTGCAGCGGGCTCTGGGTTTTCCCTTTTGACCTTTATCTCTGCTGCTGTGCTGGGAGGAATAGGGTCCGGTGGCACAACTAAAGAGACGTCCACATTACAAACAGCCTCCGAGTTGCAGCAAAGGGACTGAACAGCACCAGCCAAACATCCTAAGGCAGCTGACATTTCCAGGGTATAGCTGCTGGGATTGGAGAGATAACGCTGCAGCTGGGAAAAAGACTGCTCCGAGCATTTTTTAAAGGGATTAGTACATTCATCCTCGGCTGGCGATAGGAGGGAAGAAAGGGGAACTCGGTTGTTTTGGCCAAAGGTGGGCTGTGCATTTTGATCGAGCTTTGCAAATTCTTGGAAGTGCTTTTTGATATGTATGCTGGTGTTGACGGTATCCTCGCATGAAGAATTGGTGGCTTTCTGTAAGGCATACTGAAGTCCAGGCAAAACTGAGGCTATTTTCAGAGAGATGTCACTGTCTTCCTTTTCCGCTTTTGGATCTTGCTTGTCAACTGAGAAAGAAAAAGAAAAGAGTTTTACTCATGTCAAAAAAGGATTAAATTCCTCAAATCGCCTCACCACTGCACGCTAACAGAACATGAAAGGTATGAAAAAGCCCAACAAGCCAACCTACAAAAAGCCAGCCCCAGGGCCAGTGTCCTCATTTGATGGATGTTTGTAACTGCCGAAGGTACGGAAGAATTGCACGTGGGAGTCAGAAGTGGATTAATCCAAGACGAAAGACTGCTGTTTCATCAGCTAGCCCCATTCTCCAGGAAATTAAAGGACGAGGCCTCACATACAGCGGTCCAGTCCCATCGCGCTGACGTTTCTAGAGAAGCCCAACATTTAGGACAGTCAGAGCTCTGAAAATACATGTTGGGGTTTTTTTTTTTTTTTGATTTGTCCAAATTTAGGGCTGGCCAGGCAAGGTGTTCCGACTATCGCCATATTCAGGCCACTTGCGCTGCTTATGTTCCTGTTCAGACGCAACTTCCAGCAGCTCCGTCTCTACCTGCTGCAAGTGTGAGCGGAAGCAGCGCAGACGAAGACCTGGCGTTAGCGCGTCCACGTGGGATGGGAAAGGCCAAGAAGCAGACCTAGAGACAGCATAGATAAAGAGGAGGAACCCCTGGGTGATTTTCTAAAGCTGGAGGAGTGACCCTACTGAAAACAGCAGGCCTTCACCGTTGATTTCAGCAGACTGCCCGGCCTACTACCACTTACAGCACCCGGTTTTAGGGAGGCTTTGGGTTCAGCTCCCGGTAGGGATCAAAATGAATACACACCGAGGCTGTCGGTGGCATTGCCTTTCTGCACAAGCTGGGCTTATCTGGCTTCACTGCTGCAACCCAGCAGACGGTCTGAGCGCTGGCCTGGCCGCTCACACCGCAGGCCCGGCCCATCTATGCGCTACGGTCTGACTCGGATTTTTTTTTTTGGCTGCAGGGCCAGGCAATG